GCATGCATCCACGTATTCTGGAGCTTTCTCATACCAGTAAATCGGGGTTTCCCTGTCCTCTTTACCGTGGCGTCGGGTGTGTGCATAGCACCACACAGGACAGCACCACGTTTTATTCAGCCAGGGCCTGTTGCCAGACTGCTGGGGAGTTTGCAGACTTCTGCTGTTGCAAACAATGGCGCAACGAGTAACTGGTTGTAGGCTGCTTTGCACTGGGCAGGTTTATGAGTGCAATAGATTCCTAGAAATGGGATTATGGAGTCAAAGGGAATACATCCATCAGTAATTGTTTTAGGCATTGAGCAATTCTCCTCCATGGGGTATTGTAAAAATTTGTCCTTTTTCCAGCAATCTATGAAAGCCCCTGTTTACCTATAGCCTCACACAGTGTTTTGGCAAACTTAAGGTTCTGGCAGTCTGGTAGGCGAGAACGCTAACACACTATGGTTTTAATTTGCCTGTTTCTTACTATGAGTGGGACTGAGCACCTTTTTTATGTTTAATGGCCATTTTTTTTTGAGTTGGTGATCTTGAGTTTTCAGGTATAAAATCATATCATTTGCAAACAGAGATAGCTTTCCTTCCCACTTTGCAACTTTGTATTTCTATATTCTTTTGTCTAGCTGAGTTAGCTAAGACCTACAGTACAGTGTTCAACGGTAGTGGTGATAGTGTGTGTCCCGGTCTTGTCGCCGATATTAGTGGAGATATGTTTTCCCATTAAGTAAGAGTCTGCCCTTAGAACTGAGGTGTATTTTCTTATATGCTAAAAAGTGGCCATCAATTCCAAATCTAACTGTTTTTTTAATTTTTTTTTAATCAAGAATGAATGTTGGTTTTTTAAAAATCAAATGCCTTTTTTAGCATCTATGGAGATGGTTGTGATTTTTTTCCCTTAGATCCATTAATATGATCTTTTTTCCTTAGATCATTAATATGAGTTATATTACTAGATTTTCAAATGGACCGTATCAATATGTTTAAAATGAGCTTGATTTACAGCCGTCAGGAATGCAGACTCTGATCACGTTGCTGCTTGAATATTCTGTCTTCTCTGTTACAGTTACTACGGACTGATAGTGTGGTTCCCTGATATGATCCGATATTTTCAAGATGAAGAATATAAGTCCAAGATGAAGGTATTTTCTGATGAGCACGTGTACGGCGCCACAATCAACTTCACAATGGAAAATCAGATTCACCAGCACGGGAAACTCGTGAATGACAAGTAAGTGGGAGACCAAGGACTTTCCTCAGGTCAGGGTGACCATCTGCGGGGACTGTCTTGGGGAGAGAGCCATTGGGAAGATAAGAGTTCAACATGGTGGAGAAGTGAGCTCCAAGGCTGGTGGAGCATGGCAACTTAGTCCGGATGCCGGAGACTCGGCAGTGCCCCTGGTGGCTCCGTCTGTCCTGTGCTGTCCCCCGCAGCACAGGTCATCCTGGCTATGGTCGATTCCTACAGGGAGGGTTAACCAGCCCATCTTTCCTGAGACCTCGCACCTTAAATGGTGGTGCACAGAGAGCCATAGCCCCTCAGTGGTGCCTGCTTGGAGAGAGGGCCCAGAGCTCTCACCGCTGAGGTCCTGCGCCAACTCGCAGCCTGGTGGTTGAGCTTTTTCTTTGATTCTGGATGCTTCTCCAGAAGCAAGTCCAGAGGCTGTATAACATGTTATTCTTTTATCTAATACTACTTCCCAGGGTCGATCGGCATAGCCCATTGCCATCAAGAATATTGATGTTCTTCGGGGGGAAAGATGAGTGGAGTGTTAGGGAAGTCCTGCCTGCATCCTCCTCCACCTGTGTGGCTCCTCCTCTTTCTACTCCTGGGGCATTGCGGTGGCCAGTGCAGCCTGTTGGGCTCTCAGACTGCCTCTTCCTGGTCACCCTCTGAAGGCCCCCAGACGGTTCAGGGCAGGACAGTTTCCCCCAGGCCACGTTACCCACTAAGCTGAGCATTTTCACCTCTGCTGTTTCCTTTCTTGATTTATACGTAGCAAGTTCACTGGTTCGGGTGAGGGTGTGATGCACCAGGAACACCACAGCCCAGACAGTTCAGTGTCAGTGCTGTAAACTGCCCCTTAGCTGACGCCTCTGTGTGCGAGAATTATCACCACGGATTCTCTCCTCCAGTGCGGGTTCCGCCTCCCCAGCCCGCACCCAGCTCCATATCTGAGGGAGGTGGCCCCTCCCATGGCTGTTAGCCATGATGGGAAAAGAGTGTACGTCCGGGTGAAGTCCAAGGAGGGTGCCTTCTGCATTCTAGTCCATATGGCTCTCACGGGCCAGACCTTAGCAAATATTCACTGTTATTTAGGGTGAGAAAGAAAGTGTGAAATGAAAACAGGAATATTATTGCTACAAATATGAGAACTCGAGTGGAGGAAAGTTAGGACCCAGTATCAGTGGACATAGAATTCAGACTCTCAGATGATTTTTTTTAAAAAGCTGAGGCTCAGTCACAGACATCTGCACACTCATGGCCCACATGTGCACACACCCTCGGTGGAGACACTCCAGAGTCAGTGGAATCTGCTGAGACTGACCACTCCAGGGTTGAAAGCTTCAAGGCTAGTGGTTGGTGGTGGTAGCAGTGCCCCCAGGATTTCTCCCTGTCAGGGCTCTTCAGTATAAGCCAAGAGAGAAATGTTTTTCTTTATTAGAATGCCCCTGAAATGTTGAAACTTAAGGGACATTATGGATGGCTGGATGTCACCCATGGTATGATGTTACTCCTTGCAGAGATGAATTCAGCAAAAGAAACCTTGTCTATGAAACTCCCAGTGTTCAGTGATGCTCTGGTGTGGTGTTAGTAACAACAGTGACAGTAATGACGCTGACAACTACGCTAGTAACAATGAGGACAGCCAACATTACTGGTAATACAGGACCAGCGTCTGTGTGCTAGGCTCTGCCTGAAGTGCCTCTCCCAGCCCATCTCGTTAGACCCCCACAGCAACTCCAGGAGGCTAGGAAGGTGCCTTCTGTTTTCCAGGTGGGGAAACGGAAGCTTAGAGAGGCTGAGTGGTTTGCCCAGATCACACAGTGAACATAGATAGAACTGTCTCTCATTCAGTTCACGTGTTCGGAGTCCAGTCCCGTTCCCTTGACGACTGCAAATATTGTCTCATTGGGAAACTCTCCGTTCTCCCAGGCCCTGTTTTACATGGTATTTTCTGCGTTAAAAAGTTGATCTCAATGCCAGAGCCGTTATGATTTTTAACAGATAGGTTTTGGCATTCTAAGGCTTAGCTATGCACAAAGTGGAAACTTTTGGTCCGTCCTGTCCTTTGAAAAGGTCCAAGCCTCCCAAAGCTTTCAGCAAGCTGCCAGGTGAGAGTGAGGAGGAAGCCAGGCTTGATGAAGGTGGGGGGGGGGAGTCTCCTCTGTGGACCCAGGACCCCAGGGACCATAGAGTTATTGTCAAGAGTCTGGGGATGCCTCGGCAGGCCAAGGATTGTCTGGGACTGGGTGTAAAAATTCTGCACACAGAGATATTCTGCCATGTTCCTGTGTTTCAAATGTGTGTGAACGTTTTCGTGTGATGACTAAAGTATAAATTGCCTTCAAAAGTTTCAACGAGCTAATTTTAATTTGTTGTATATATATATTTTTAACCAACGGATACTAAAAATACAACCACTATTACTTGAAGCCCATAATTTTTACCCCCAGCGATTTGTTTGGATAAAAAGGATGTTTTTCATAAGATTAAGAAACTTTGAAACTGATCTAAGGACTTGAACCTTTTCTTTGCTGCTTTCCATTTCTTTTCTTGAGTTATGCTGTCATCTGGTGGTCATAAACTGGAAAACACCTCATCTTTGGAAACCCTGAGCCCCTTCGGAACATTAAATTGACGTTCTCTGGCTTGGGTGGAGCATTTTCCCCATTCGTGCCAGTATTCCCCCTTTGACTTTATCCACACTTTGCTGATTAAACATTTAGATAAACTTATTTATTTATTGACTATCACACATAGGGGAACATTACTCTTGGCAGGGAGAGCAGAGAGAAACAAAGCAAATGTGCTTCTAGAAAAGAGAAGGTTGATTTCACACATCCCAGTGAAATGCTACCCCACACTGTTGAAAGCTCCTTTGCGTGGGGCATCAGTAAGAATTTTCTTCAGCTGCAGTGGGCGTGTTCCGGGCAGCAAAGCTCCATGAAGCTGCCAACGGTGGGAAATGTGTTAAGTGTACCTTCTGGTTCCAGGTCTGAGGGAATAGCCAAGGCTTAAGGGACTGGGTTCCAAGCCTTGATGGGTCAATGACTAGCTGAGCCACCTCTGATCTGTTTAAGCCTCTGATTCCACATCTGAATGTCATAATATTGATATAGAATGTCCACCAGGCTTCAGAGTTAATAAACTATCTCGGTAAAATTTTGTAATTTAATCTAGATCCTGCATAGTTCTTGTAGAGCCTCTTCCTGACTATTTCACAGTTAGCTGGCACTGAAAATGAGATTGTTGGTCCTCCACCAAGCATTTACACAGGTTATTGCAATTCAGTAGAAATCTTGTTGCTTTTTGGTTTTTTTTTTTTTTCTTTTGGTCTCTAACTGAGCTCTTTTATTAGTTCTAACAGTTTCCCCTTGCTATTGCTACATAATCCTAGCATCTGCCAGTAACATCATTTCATCTCCTTTTCTTTTTTATTCCATCATGAAATATATCCAATATGTAGAGAATAGAGAATGATGCCAACAACCCTATTCAGAGCACCTAGCTTTGTAAAATCATAAACTACGCTCTGTTGACTTCAGATTTTAATATAGATTAAACATCTCTTCCTCTGTTGTCCCCCTGGAGCGATGGCCACCACAGTCATATGTTGGGTATTTTACATTCATGCATTTATACTTTCCTTGTGTATTTATCTGTCTATCCACATGGTGCAGCATTCTTTAGTATGGTTTACATTCTAGATAAATGTCAGACTATATCACAGATGTGAATGTATAATTCTTATACTATAAATTTTGCAACTAGTTTTTTTTAAGGCTATATACTTTTTTATTTTTAATTTTTTTATTGAGGCATAGCTGATGTACAATATTACATTGATTATGACCCCTGATTTGGTGATGCATAGAACCCATGCTAATGGGTATTCCGACTTCAGTGGGGTTACTTTGAGTGTCTTATCTGTAAGTATGACATTTACTGTATGTTTTTGATTGATCTTCTTTATAAAGTTAAAGAAATTCTCTTCTATTTTAAGTGTGCTGAGAGTTTTTATCATGAAGGTGTATTGAATCTGTCAACCTTTTTCTGCATCTGTTATGACAATTAGATGATTTTCTCCTTGGACTTATTCATATGATATATTAAAATAATATTTTGCTGGTATTCAGCCATACTTGGTTCCTGAGATATATCTCATTCATTTCAGTGTGAATTTTTAAAAATGGCAATACATTGTCAAATTTGATTTACCAATGTTCTGTTTAGGATTTTTGCATCTAGGTGAGATGGGTGTATCTTTTCCTTACCTGTTTGCATTCAACTTTGGTTGAATATACTCTCTTTTTAAGATGTGCTAGGATCTTTGTCAAAACAATAGGAGATACTGTGATTTCGGCACTTAAGAAGCCTTATGTGTAAGAGAAGAAAAAGAGAGGAAATTGGATTTACTGGCAAATTGGCTGAGGCACAAGAACATACTGCCTCAGAGTCTGTTTGGTGGACGGTATTTCCCACTATATACCTCTCATTCCTCATGAAATAATATTTCAGTGGTTTGGGGACATAAGATGGCCATTTCCTAAGTCTTTTGTTTCTTTCTCAGGCTA